CAATCAAGTGGGTGATATAATGTAATGTGATGCGTGTGCTAGTTCTTGACAACTTTGAGGCAGCTGGACGAGTGATGATGATCCTCGATGACAACCTGATCAATGAACCTGTCTGTCTCCTCCTTCACCATCCTTGTTTCCCCGCTTCTCCATCCTCACTGCATCACCTCCTCCCTCCAACTCCCCCCCCCCTCTCCCCTCCCTCCTCCCTCCTCCCTCCTCCCTCTTTCCTTCTCCTGCCCTTCACACCTGGACCAACTGAGTCTGTAGGAGCTGCGGCTCAGGGACGGGCATGTCGGGACGTTGAGGGGAATGGAAGGAGGAATTCACCAACTTACGGTGAAACTTATCGATGACCAGAGCGAAGAAATCTGCAAATATGTGAGAGGGAGGGGGCGAGCGAGCGAGCGAGAGAGAGAGAGAGGAGAGGAGAGGGAGGAAGGGAGGAAACGATGGAGAGTGATTGAGGAGTTTTCAGACCTCTACGTTCGTGGTGGGGCACTGGCTTCCTGAGATTTCAATCACTTCGCCTGTCAACGGGAGTTTTGTGAGTGAGCAACAGCTGAGCGTGTTCTTCTTTGTGGAGAGATTCAAGTCAGTATCGCACGTGCTCTTCTGATAAGACTCTCACACTCTTTGTTAGTAACATCTCACAGTCTTCTGTTACTGTTCGCCTTGACGGGCTCGACGTCTTCTCCCTCCCCGGCTCGTCTCACCATTTCGTCCTTGACCAAGTCAGACCTCCTGACCTGAACCCTCTCACGTTGACTCCTCCTCCAGCTTAAGCCCGGTGCTCACATCCTCGAGGTCTCAACTCCCGCTCCTGTCTTTCTCCTCCTCCTCCTCCTCCTCCTCCTCCTCCTTCTCCTCCTGTCTCCACTTCCTACCTCCTGCCCCCTCTTCCTACTACCTCCTGCTCCTGCTCCTGCTCCGGCTCCGGCTCCGGCTCCGGCTCCTGCTCCTGCTCCTGCTCCTGCTCCTGCTCCTGCTCCTCCCTCCTCCTCCCGCTCTCTTTCCTGGCCATTCCTCTCATGCTCCTTGTGCTTTACTGCTTTCTCTCTCTTACGCATCCTACCGTTTACAGCTCGTTCTCCTCCTCCCCTCAGGCACCTCCAAGGTCCGCAAGAATCCCCTCCGCCGCCGCCTGACCCTACGACCAGCGAACGCTCTCCTCCTCTCGCTGCCACTTCACCGTCCACCAGCCTGAGGTGCAGCTGCTGGAGCCTGTCTACCTTCAGGACCTGGAGGAAGAGGAAGAAAGGATCGCGAAGAGAAGGCAAGAAGTTCTTCTTGTCTGCCTTGATGGTCACATTCATCTCCTTGTAGATTCGTCATGAAGGTTGTTCATGCACTTGAAGGATTTGGGTGTAAAACGTTGGACGAAGGATCGTTGAATTCAGCATTCACTGTCGATGCTATTGTCGTTGTCACTTTTTCTGTACTTTTTGTTGTTGTTGATGATGATGATGATGATGATGATGATGATGATGATGATGATGATGATGGAGGGAGATAAACATGCTGATGATGCCCTGCTAATTTATGTTTAGCTCATGGTCCTCAACCTACCTTCAAACGCACGAGCGATGTTGAGGGTTGAGGTACAACTCATCTTTCCTCTCTTCTGTCTCTCTCCTCCTCCTCCTCCTCCTCCTCCTCCTCCTCCTCCTTCATCGCTTCACCTCCGTCTCTTCTCCCCTGCGTTCTTATCCTCCAGCAGATGTCAAATGGGCTGAGCGCTACTCGCAAGGTCTTGGGAAGGGGGAGGCGAGGGGGAGGGATTGACTGGCAGCAGGTGACACAGTCGGACGCGCTTGTGCTGTCATGGGAAGGAGAACGGCAGACCGAGGAGAGGAACCTGCAAGAGATTTCTTTGAGGATGAGGTGAAGGAGAGAGTAAGTGGGGAAGCGATCTCAGATTCCGCACAGTCTGGTCTTGGAGGACGAGGACGAGGACGGGGACTATGGAGGTGGAGATGAGGGATACACTGATATGGTTCCTCGTGTGCAAAACTTGATCTTCGTTGACATCTTGACAGATGTCAAAACTTGTCTTCACAAACAGGACTGTCGCAAAGGTGGTCAGAGTGCCGGCGAGGAAACAGTTGGTCTACCTTCTCGTCGCTCGTTTGCTGATTGTTCTTGCTTCTCCTAGTCGTGTCAGCCCCACATGCTCCAACATCTTCCTCGACATCGGCACAAACGACGGGTCAAGCATACGGCGATTCTTGCGTCCTGAGGTGTGACTGGACTGAGAGAATGAGGAAGAAACACAGACAGGAGGAGGAGGAAGAGTAGGAGGAGGAGGAAGAGGAATGATAGAGAGCTGGATAGCGGAGAATGTGGAAGGGAGGAGATGGAGCAGTCGGCAAAGTACCG